TTTGACAACTTCCAATTTTCCCAGATTCATACTTCGTACATTCCATGTTCCAATTTTCAATGGATGTTTACAGCTGTTTCTCTTCATTTTGAGTTGTGTGCCATCAGCAAATGAAGGTCCTATGGGCTTTACTCCCACAGGCTTTACTCCATTTAGGTCATCAAAGTCCACTCTACTCTGAGGAGGCAGCTCTTCCCCAGTTGCATTTTGAGTGCCTTCCAACCTGAGGGGCTCATTTTCCGGCACTATGTCTGACAGTGTTTCTCTGCCATTCATAAGGTTTTTAGTGACTAAATATTTGGTAGTAGTTCGTCACTCCTTCTTCCTAGTCTGTCTTCATCTGGAAGCTCATCTGAAATCTGTCCACCATGGGTGACCCTGCTGGTATTTAAATATCCAGCATAGCTTCCAGAATCACAGCAAGTCACAAGCCGCCACAGTACGACACACGGACAGACGAGTGGTGGATACGTCTCCATGTTCTGGAATAATCTGAGTAGAATTGGTGGCAGTTCCTCTCTGAATGTTTGGTAGAATTCACCCGTGAAGTCGCCTGGGCCTAGATTCTTTTTGTTGGGCGTTTTTCAATGACCTGATTCAATTTCTTCTTTTGTTTTAGGCCTAGGTCGGTTCTAGTTTTCTACTTCACTCTGTACTAGTTTAGGTAGGTAGTATGTTTCTAGAAATGTGTCCATTTCCTCAAGATTTTTCCATTTTGTTGGAGTGAAATTCTTCATAGTATTCTGCTATTATCCTTTTACTTTCCATTGGTTTTGTTGTGACATCACTCAAGTCATTCCTTAGCGGTGGCATTTGCATCCTCTCTTCTTCCTCTGTTAGATTTGACCGTGGTCGGTTGATTTCATGAGTCTTCTCAATGAGCCAATTTCTTGCTTTGTTGATTTTTTTCTATCGCTTTGTGTTCCTTATTTCTGCTCTAATCTCCACTGATTCTTTCCTTCTGGTGACTGGAGGCTTACTTTGCTGCTCTTTCTAATTGTTGGTTAAGGTGTTGATTTTGATTGTTTTTTCTTTTGGGACATGTGTGTTTATTGCTATAAATTGTCCTCTGAGCACAGCTTTTGCTGTGTCCCAAATGTTTGGGTATGTTGTGTTTTCATTCTCATTTGATTCAAAGAATTGTGATTTCTTTCTTTTTCTTCTGCTTCTATGACCCAGCAGTTTTTAAGCAGGGTGTTACTCAATTTGCATATACTTGATTTCCCCCTTGATCTTCCTCCCGTTGCTTTCCAATGCTTTGTAAAAGTATTTCAATATTTTTATACTCACTGCGGCTTGCTTTGTGGCCTAACATCATCTATTCGGGAGAATGTTCCATGTGCAGACCAGCTGCCTTTACGAAGACCTGACACCCACACACTCACACAGCACTATTTAAACCACAATGTTGGCAGTTCAAACTCACCAGCCACTCCTATGAAGCCTTATACAGGGCCACTATGAATCCAACCAACTCAACAACACTTAACAACAACAATACCACAACTGATATCTGGGGTTCCTAGCTCCTGCACACACCTCAATCACAGAAGGTCTGGCCTAGGGGTAGGAGTGGGGACAGCTGAGGTCCTGTCCCCACAGAGAGACCCCCAACATCAGAGAGCAGTGGTCTGGGGTTCCCCGGACTTCTCCCTTCAACAGTCCCCACACCCCAGAGGAGGGGGTGCAACCCCAGGCTTGAGGCTTCAAAGGTCTCTTGGTGGTCTCATGGTGGCCCAGGAGGGGCAGGATCTTAGGGCCAGTTGGACACTATGGCCCGATTCCAGTCTTTGTCCCCCAGCTAAGCCCCCAGCCCTGCCCCAGCCCCAGCCCCAGCTCAGCCCTTACCTTGAACCCGATACCGCCCTTCTTACAGCACAAGCAAGCCAGCATGAGGACGATGATGGTGAGGAGCCCAGAGAAGGATACGGCGACCACAGCCAGGGAGGATGACCAGGAGAGCTCACTGAGGGAGGCGCCGTCTGCGGAGGGAAAGAGCACAGCGGTCAACAGCCAGGCCAGCCCAGGGGGCCCCCAGCCCCTGCTCCCCTGGGTCTAGGCTGGAGCAGCCCTGAGGTTCAGCACCCAACTCTTTGCTCTGGGAGGCCAGGCCAGAATCTGGCATGGGCCGTGGTTACCTGGCCCAGAGCAGGCAGGACAGACGCACAGCTGTGGTTACTAAAATGGTTAGAGCCTGCAATGCTGTGATCGGCCACTGGGTGCCGCTGTGGAGTCTCGAGGTAGTGTAACAGGTGCACAGTGCCGGTCTGAGGGTCACCTCCTCCACGCCTTTCCTGGCCTCCCGACTACCCTGCCTCACTCCCTGAACCCACCACAGCCAAGACTACATGGCTGGCTCAGGGAAAGGCCACAAGACCCCGAGGGGTCAGGAAGGGGGACGGGGCTCTTCTGACAAGTCGGACCATGGAGTTGGTCTCTGCTCTGGGCGGTGAGAGTCAGGCTGACCAGCTCTTCTCGGCGGATGTGGCCAAATGTGTCCCTTCCTGGTGTGTCCCCCAGGCCTTGGACCCCTGTATCTGTCCTGGAGTTTAGAGGGCAGTGGAAGCACACCGTTCTGTGTAAGCCCCTCACGGACCCTCACACCAACCCCACCCAAAGGGGGAAACTGAGGAGCTGAGCCCATACACACACACACACACACCACTGAGTCACACACAACACTGGCTCCCAAGTCAGCTACCCTGATGCCCAGCCAAGTCAGAGCTTTCCAGAAGTGCACTCATCTGGTGGCTGCAGGGCCCACACTGAGCTGGCAGCTCCTCCAGGCCTGTCCCTCCTGCCCCCCAGCCTCTTCCTGACCCCCGTCCTCAGCACCTTCCTTCCTCCCAGACCCTCCTTCTTTCAGCAGGGACCCACTCTGGAGTGTAGGCTGGCTCTGTGTCTGTTCCTGGTAGGGACCCACAGTAAAATCACTGAGCCTGACATTCCAACCTCTTTCCGGAAGCTTCTCCAGAGCAGCCTGATCCCCAGGGTCAGTCTCAGTACGGGGTGGGGTGGAGTAGAGAGACACCGGTGGTTGTGGGGGACTACAGAACCAAGCCCTGATACCCCCTGGAGGGACACAGGGGCGAAAGCAGGTCCCCCCCACCAAGAGTCCCCCGAGTGGATGCCGTGGAGGCTTAAGGGTGCAGAACGGGGAAGGGCAAGGGGCTCTCCCTCTGGGGGTCCCATTTGGGGGGACTGACCCTGTAGGTACATGAGAGGAATTAGAATGTGGGGAGCAAGGGGCGGGGACAAGACCCTATGTGCCCATGTGGCAGCTTCAGTGATTAGCTCAGACCCCTCCAGGTTGGCCAGCCTCCTGAATCTCTCTGGCCCCCTTCAGCCTGGGCTTTTGCAGGCCGGTGTGAATCTTGGCTCACACAGCCTCAGAGACCTGGGACAGGGACGGGGGCTGAGGTTCTCATCTCATGGGTGGAGATCACGGGAGCCCAGAAACCCAGCCAAGCCAGTTCCTCATAGCAGGACAAGTGCCCCACCCAGTAAGGGGGGTCAGGGCAGTGGTGCCTACCAGGTGGGCTGTCACATGACCTGGGTCCTCTCAGTACTCATCAAGGCCTGTTGATCTTAGAAAAAGTTCCAAATCAATGAGAGAAGTTCAACCCAAACCCCCCTCCAACAACGAGCAGACACTTACTGAAGGCAAGACTGTGTATGTTAGTGGGGACAGACAGCCTCATCTTTCTCCCATGGAGCGGCTGGTGAGTTTAACGTGCCAACCTTACTGGTAGCAGCCCAAGCCCTAACCCAAAAAGCTACCAGGGCTCCTTGAAGAAGCTAAGCCTTCTTGGGAAAAAAAAGACCCGAGAAAGGATAACTATTGTGTGGTCCCACGGACATGAGCCACCTAGAATAGGCAGAGGCATACCGACGAAAAGTAGACTAGATTAGAGGCTACCAGGACTAGGGGGAAGGGAGAGCTGAAGGGGAGGGGCATTTCTGTTTGGGTGACGACAAAGCTTTGGAAACAGATGTTGCACAACATGGTGAATGTAATAGCACTGAATTCTACACTTAAAAAATGACAAGAAGAGAAAAATCCATTATCTTTTCATTCCATTTTTCCACGAACTTTTGGAAATCCTTTCCTATATTGCAAAATACAAAAAAGAATAGAGGAATCTTCAGTTCTAGACGTTTCCAGCTGTTAACAACACCCAAAAAGTGACATTAATTAAAAACACAAAGAAAGGTCAACAGGTGAAGGACTGGACAAACAGTCCGAAACATCCTGGCCAAGTATGGGGGTTCAACCCGGGTAAAGGAGGTGCTGCTGCTCAAGGCACCATATGGGGGCACCAGCTGTCTCTTCAAGACATACAGCTAATGAAATGTTGGTATGTCAAATTGCAGTATCCTATGGAAGAAGTTGTCAAGGACTTCATTCTTCTTGGATCAACTATCAACACTTCCGAAAGCAGTAGTCAAGAAATCATATGACGTATTGCATTAGGCAAATCTGCTGCACAAGACCTTTTTAAAGTGTTGAA